GACTCCGGCGGGAACCCCTGATCCAACATGGGCTACCAACCAACCAACCAATCACAGGAGGGGGTCATCCGCTATGCGACGGTCTACATGGACCCCAAAGTGAGCTTCAAGTCACAACGGATCATAAATGTTCCGTTACCAGATTAAAGAGCCGCCAAACTATCATCGTCATCTTACCAATCTCAATCGACAAGACAACTGGCCCGCGGCGCAATGGTAGGGTGTTAAATTCGATGACCGAAGCGTCGCGCGTTCGAACCTCAAATGATTCCCACTTCCAAATGGATTGACTGGCTGTTGACGGCTAATAAGCCAGAAATGGCCAGTCCGGTCTCCCTTTGTCTTTGTCAGGCCATCATGTACGCGTACGCGTAAAATATATAGCGTATGCATGAAAGATAGACATGGTCTGGATGCAACAAAAGGAAGGCCGTATGTCCGTCAACTAAGAAGCTCTCGGATCCGTTTGAACGTCGGCGTGCGAATCAAAAGATACCTCTATCGGTGATTTGACTTGACTTGCGTGCTCTGTTTGGAGGAAGAATCACCCTCCTCCCCCCTAAACGCCGATATAGATAGGGTCGTTTTATCTGGTAGTCAGAAAAAATCCCCATCAACACGATACAGTGTTCTCAATGATTAATCAGAGCACGTTACCCCTTCAAATATAGTAACTTACTGTTAGTCAATTTTTTTCGAAAGATCAACCAAAATTAATGTAACGCTACAAAATTTGCATGAGTGGTATACCGTTTCGAGACGAGTCAGGCTGATACGAATAGACGAAACTGTTAACACCGTGAAAAGAAGCGTATTTAAAAGACCACGCTTTATACAATAATCTTAAAGGACCGTCAAGGAATCGTCATTTTGTTGTAGAAACAGGGGCCCACTGTCGCGTGCTAAATTTAAAAATAATATTTGCGTCCCCTGATGTAAAAAAACACCCATCTTGGCTGACTTACATATCCTTGTCAACGGCAAATTCGCGATTTCGCAGTTGAAATCCGTAGCGTTGAGCATCGCGTTCCTCGAAGGTGTAGCCCCAACTGGGGTACACATGACGACGTCCTCCGCTGACAGTCGACTTCCTACGGCCCGCACGCATTGGCTGGCGCAGTCCGAAGTCCGGCAGGACGGCGGCCAG